CTTTCCCTAGTTTCAATGATTTGTTCCTCATATTTGGTGATAGGTGTACTGATGGATTGGAAAACCTGTCATGTCTTTCCACGGAATCAGGAAATGTTCCAGATATAGGCTTTTGCAGAAGGACCGGAAAATCTAGTGACTTCTGGGGAAAGAAACGGACTAGAAATTTCAGAAACGGGGCCCTGCGCTGTATGATTGATTCACTGAATGAGCAATTCAGGTTGCAGTGCTCCAAATACTTCTCGGAAAATCAGTATCAAAGATTGATGATGGAATACAGAGATGTAACATATCTTCTTAAGCAAGATGGCTTTGAATGGGATGGGTTTTTACAGATGGTGGTAGCCAAAGATGATGTTTGGGAAGCTCACATCAAGGTGCAATCTTTCTCCTCCTCCCGTATGGTTATTTCTCTAACTATGCCCATAGAAGACGTCTAGTGTTGTCTGTAGATTGAGATGAATATCCTCTATCCCGTCAACCGGAGATCATACTTTACTTAGACATTAGCCTTGAGTACGAATTTACATGATAACTATTGCATGTGTTTGGGTTCCTTTTTAGTTGTGTTGCTTGGCCAAGCATCTAAATGCACTAAGAAAATTTCCCTAGAGTACTTGGTGCATTCAGATGCTTCTGCTGAAATCTATTCCACCGTACACCTCAAGTATTTGGTTAGCTTTTGTTGGAATTTAGAAGAAAAGTCTACAGAAACTCTGAACTGGTCGTAACGGTGATACAAAGATTCAGCTTTTGTTACTGTCAATTTGATCGCAGAACATTAGCTGGCTGGCTATGAAAATCCAATAAGTTCAGAATTTCCGGACAGTTTGTATTTTGAATTTAAAAACGGATGAATGTTCTTTCATCTTCAAGTACAATGTTTCAATCGAAATTGCCTCAAGGTTTGGATCTATACCTCGGTTTATGATTACAAGACTTAAATAACAGCATCTGAAGGTTTGGAGTTTAAACATCAATTCTTGTTTCATTCTTCTCTCATACCCTTTCCATCGTCTGCAGGAGCACCCAGAAGCAGCAAGGTATAGAGATAGAAGCTTGACTGACTATGAAGACTTATGCTTGACTTTTGGCGACAATGCTTCGGCTTTTGGTCCGGAACCGGAAGCCAAGGACTGCTCTGATGGCATCTATGGAGGTCTGCAGTGCCCAGGAATGGATTTTAAGATGCCCAGTCTGAAGAAACAGCTGAAATCCCCAACTTACTCACCAGTTTTGCCTTCTAACCGGAAAGTGGATACCTGTCGCGATGTGATGTTTGAGGATTTGCATTGTCCAGGAACCGATTTTGAGACACCCAGTTCAAGAAAACAGCGAGTGTCTGAAACTTCCTCACCAGTTTGGTCTTCTAAGAGGAAACTGCACTGGTCTGAGACATGTCGAGACCATGATACCACTGAAACTACTTTGAATGCTTCATCTGATGGAATCTTTGGAGATCCACAGTGCCCGGTAATGGATTCTGAGTTGCCCAATAAGAGAAAACGTCGAAAGTCTCGGGCTTTCTCATCTGTTTGCTCATCTAACACAAAAATACTTAGACCCGAGACTTGCAGAGACTGAGGCCATTGAAACGGTGGTGGATGCTCTCAGGGCCATACCCGGATGGACTGTGAGCTGTTTCTGGAGGCTTGTAGGGTCATGGAGGACGAGAGGGAAGGAAACCAAGAAGCTTGTGGATATGGATTTGGATCGCCGGAGCAAATGGCTAAGTAGAAAGCTCATGAAATGAAAACTTATCCCATCTTGCTACTAGGAAATTGGGCTTCTTTCTGGCTCATAGAGCTCTTTATCTTGTCAAAAAAGGCTAATTTTGTTTCCTTGATAGGGAAA